TGCTGCCTCTGGGGCCAGAGATGTCCTGAGGGTACATGATGATCAGGGTAATATGGGTTTGGTAGCTGTAGAATATCACTGTGCATTGGGACAACCTGTGTTTGCTTTCTCTTGACTGCAAGCTGCTTTGTAGCCAGAGAGCAGTTCGGTTCAGCACTAACTGCATCAGGTTAGTGGTGGCCAGTTTGCTCCATTGATAGTGGGGGGAACACAGCCCAGTTCTGGCCTGAGACCTCAGGAGCAGTGACTTGTCCTCCTCTACAGAGCACAGCAGTGCAGCTGTAAAAGTCAACCAGTTTCAGGAATTCAGTCATTCCTGGAGCAGGGGTTTATCTTTATACATTGAACTGTAGAATACCTAATGCATGCATTGATTTCACAGGCAAATTCAAATGCAGAGAACTTCAAGCTGATCTCAGCTATGTTGTGTGCTGCTCTGTATCCCAACGTTGTCCAGGTAAGAGAATGCTTTTTCATTTTTCCTTCTGCTCTCATATCCACATGACCTGCTTTCAATCTAGACTCGTTGTGGTAGTTTTGAGCCTGGCTTAGGTTGCCAAAGCTTGCTGCTTGTAGCGTTAGAGACAGGCAGCAGAGCCCCAGTTTGTATTGTTTGAGACCTTGCTGTTCCTACAGGCTGATTGTAGTGTCTCACAGAAGCCAGATGTTAAGAAGGTATGTTAAATTACAGCTTTTTAGAAGGCTGAGGTCACAAACAGTCAGGGTTAGACAGCACCTGGAGCATAGTGACTTGGTATGTTACTACTACAGAATTTCTGTTTTTGAAAAATTTAAAACATAAGGTTAAAAGGCTTTCTGGTGCAGCAGATTTTTATTACTTTTTTTCTTACCATACAGGTGAAAAAGCCAGAGGGTAAATACCAGAAGACCAGTACAGGAGCAGTCAAAATGCAACCAAAAGCAGAAGAGCTGAAGTTTGTTACCAAAAATGATGGTTATGTTCACATTCATCCTTCATCTGTGAATTATCAGGTCAGGATTCTTTTTTTTCTGCAAAGCATACTCTTTTTCTTTAATAAAAGAAATCATCTTTGCTTGAGTATTTAAGATTGCAGTGAGGATCCCTATTGATGTTTAAATAAAAGATCTTAATAACTGAACAGTCCTGCATTAGGATTGCAAATAATGGTGTGTTCCTGAGTTAAGAGTGTCTTCTTGGGCACACAATTAAACTCCAGCCTCTGGAGTGGAACTAGGGATGCAGCAGATCCCTGTTCAGCTTTTCTAAAGGTGCATCTGCAGAGCTGAATGCAAAAAAGCTGCAATGCTGCCCTGGCTTCTCAGTAGTGATTATCTACTGTTAAATAATTCAGGGACATACTCTGGTTTCTGAGTCCTCAAGTTCTGAAGTTAATTTAATTTCCAGCTTAATAGCTAATTCTTAGATAAAAGCTCTCTCTCTTTGCCGTGACGTGGTAATATTTGTCTCATGAAGTCCGTCTCCATGTTTGATGATTCATTGCTTTTCCAGGATATAAGTTACTTGTCTTAAAAAAAGTGAGTTTTCAGTCATTATTGGGTTATAAAGTCTTTGAACTGTTTTTCACTTTTGCTGTGAAAGAGCGTAACAGATGCACACATGAGAATGTCCTTAGCATGGGAGAACTTGGGGCCTTGAGGCAACACTGGTGAATTAGCTGATTTCTCATGTGCTCGCTGCAAGGAGCATGGGGTAACTGGTGAAGTTATTGGCAGCTCTTATGGGTCAGAGAGAGTCTGTTAGTCAGGCAGGTGCATTTTAGGCACATTTGCTGCTCTTTGCAGCTGTAGGAGAGGCGGGACCCGAGCAGGCAGGAAGAGATGCATCCCTTTAATGAGGCTGTGGTGTGTGTGTTCCAGACCAGGCACTTTGAGAGCCCCTACCTGGTGTACCACGAGAAGATCAAGACGAGCCGTGTGTTCATCCGGGACTGCAGCATGGTGTCCGTGTACCCGCTGGTGCTGCTCGGGGGCGGGCAGGTGCACATGCAGCTGCAGAAGGGGGAGTTTGTCATTTCCCTCGATGACGGGTGGATACGGTTTGTGGCTGCCTCTCACCAGGTAAGGAAAAGAAAGGATAATCCTGGGAGCGCTGCAGAGCTGTGCTGGTGTTTGGAATGTCCCGAGCCTTACACTTCCCTCTGTGTTTTACTGTATCAGGTGGCTGAGCTGGTGAAAGAGCTGCGCTGTGAACTAGACCAGCTGCTGCAGGATAAAATCAAGAATCCCAGCATGGATTTGTGCATGTGCCCCCGTGGATCTCGGATCATCGGGATGATTGTAAAGCTTGTGACCACACAGTGACATCAATCAGAACAGCTTTCTCTAAAGACTGTTACAGGCCAAGTAACATCCATGTCTTGATATATTTATTGGTCCAAAACATGGCATTAATCTCTGGAAAAACAGGATGGCAACTGTACTGTTGACAGTTTTTTCGTTGTTTTTTTTTTTCCCCTTTGTTTGCTCGCTTGTTGGAAGTAAGGTGGCTTACAGTACACTCTGGGAAATGGGAAAACAGCAAATCTCCCAGGAGGAGTAGAAACCTCCAAGTAAGAAAATGTTTTCTCCTGGGACTATACCCTAGCAGTAGTGTTTTCTGGTCACAAAAATACCTGCTATCCAGCTGGTTTTTTTAATGTCTGGAGGCAGCGTGTGACATAGTAAGCTACTCCCAAATTGGTTTAACTCACTCCTACATTTTGACCATGACTTTACTGAGGCAGTCAGTTTGGGCTGACCGGGGTTCATTTGCTCATGGTTCAACCCAAAGCGATCATACAAATGAGCACCTTTTGATTTGTGTCAAGAGGTTCTGAAGTTCAGACGGTGTCCTCTGATGAGAGACTGCAGTGGATCAGTTGGAGTGCAGTGTTAGATCAGTGCAGGCTGTTCTGGTGACAAAGTAAAACTGCAGGAGAGCGTGGACATTTTCCCTGAAGGCTGTTCCAGCCCCTGCTGCACTGGGAAGAAATAGAACAGCTGAGAAGGGACTGCTGTAGAGCATTAAAAATGAATTCTTGGATGGATGACACTGCTAATTTCTTAACCTGCTCTGGTATGTGGTGGTCCTTCTGCCACCCTACACAGCTGGAAAAAAGTCCCACTTTTGGAAACTTTTATCCAAACTCACACTCTGGGGAATGGATTGCTAGTGTGGCAAAATCCTGCAGTAATAATGCACTATTATTTCTTCCCCTTAGCATTGCTGCAGCCAAGCTGCTCAGTGTATAGCAACTGCAAATAATAGCAAGTGCCTTAAGTGCCAGGACTTGGCTGTCATCTCTAATGGTAAAACCAGAGTGAGCAGTCTCTACCACCAGCCCTACCCAGCAGTAACCCTCAGGCTGAGGAATGAGCTGAGGGAGGCACATTGCTTGGGGAATAGGTGGATGTTTTGAAAAAACAGACTTGCATGTTTGTAGAAGCAGTTTCACACCAACACACCCTCACATGAGGAAGATGACAGGAGTGCCAAGACCAACATCCCTGTGCAGCAGAAGGGCCTCTGCAGCTGAACTGCTGCTGCAGTTTAGCCCTTAGCCAGCTAAGCACCAGAGGGCCACTCCCTCCTCTACAACCCATCTCCATGACCTGGCAGTGGGAAAGGGGAGTGATGAGAAGATTCATGGGCTGAGAGACATGGGCTGAGGTAAAGCAAAGGCTGCACACACAAGCAAAACAAGGAATTCATTCACTGCCTCCTATGGGCAGTAAGGTGTTCCACCAGCTCCTGGAGCACAGTGTGATCATGCCCAACAGTGACTTGGAAGACAAGCACTGTCACTCTGGCCATCTCCTCCCCCCAAATGTATATGGTGAACATTCCATATGGTCTGGAACATCCCCTTTGGGAGTTGGGGTCAGCTGTCCCAGCTGTGTCCCCTCCCATTAGAGGAGGGGATTATTAGAGGAGTTTTTAGTCTACAGGCTTGGTGTGGAGTCAGCTTTGCTTCAACAGTCCAGAGAGGAAAAATTGAAAAAAAGCCACTACCTCCTTTTAAAGCACTGTTGCATGGGGCAATTTCATCACTGATGCTGCACACTGCAGCAGGGCAGGGACCCCAATAAATGCTGTCCCCCAGCTGTGTTTAACAGGGGCTTTGAGGGCACCCTTGTTTAATGCTGTTACTTCCAGCTCCCTCTGCTGCAGCTATAATGGAGTATGGTTCAGCAAAGCAGTAACCACAGCATCATCAGGCAGGGAAGTCACCCTCCCCCCTAAGCCCCAGTGCACTGAAATGAACAAACATGGGGGAGAGGAGGGGTAAGACAGAGAGGAAGAGTACTTTTAAAGTCATATGTATAGGGGCTCATTATCATTCTTTTAATTCCTGGACATCTTATAAAGCAACAATGATTAAAGTTCATCCTAAGCCCTGGGGGGGTGTCCATGCACAGCTGCAGTGCTCCACTGCACAGCAGGGTATCCACCCACTGCTGCCCAAACAGAAGCCCCAGAAGACTTGACTGTTCCTCCCACGCTGGTAAGACACAGCAATAGGGCAGAACACAGTAAAAGAAAGACTTTTAAGTCAAAATTATCTGGCACTCTATCCTCACTACTCTGTTAATAGCCATTATCAGCTGCAAAGATAAATCAAATTGGAAAACATCTTGCACTTGTTTACCGGACTTCTATTAAATCTCTCAGTAACCTATCCCTGGCCAGATGGGGACCATCCATATACAGGCAGCTACAGTCTGGCTTCCCAAAGCAACCCCTGATCAGGACAGCATCAAGGCCCTTGGATACACTTCACTGCCAAACGTAACCAGGCAGATCAGGTCAGACAGGTGTAACGCAAGTTCTCGGTTCCCCAAATATACTGCTACTGAAACATGACCTGCAGATTCTGCTTATGACATGTCAACTATAAGAAAAAACTTAAATTTCCTAAAAATAGTATCTAAAGGTATTATATCTTCTGCATCAGAACTGCCACTTTGTGTTAAGTATCACAAAGAAGCAGTACTATTTGGATGACCAGGACAGAAAAAAAGATTTCTAAAAATATTTACTTCGACAGTTTACATTCCAGAACTACTTCAAATACCTTCAGGTGAGAACGAACGTGACCGGTCCTTTAATCATCAGGACAGACCAACCAGCATTCACACATTCCTTGTTTCTTCCAATCCGATAATGTCCTTCGTAGACATTTTTGTAAGTCAAATTACTGAGCACATGAACACCCCCGCAAAAGGTTTTTCCGCTTCACCGAGCTGTGATGAGGTGCAAGGAATACCACGAGGATCCAGACCAACCAGCAGGAATGACAGCTGGAACTGGTAACTTTCCACTCTAACTGGTGCCAGGCAGGGATGAAGGCACACACCTGCAGCACAGCCACTGCACTACAGCCCACTCACAACAAGGGACTGCCACTTCCTGCCTTCTACCTTTCACCTCACGGGCACACAACCTGCTTCCCCATGCCACATATTAACAGAAACAGTAGGGCTACCACAGTCTATTTCTTAGTTAGAAATGCACAGTTTGTTTTAATGCAACAATTAACAAAAAAAGAGCCCAACATTTCCAGATCACAGAACATGAACATAACAAGAGTTTTGTATTAGTCTGCTAGTAAGACTTTTAAAAGATATAGTATTCATGCCAATTGCTAGTCAACAGAAACAGCCTTCTAGGACTAAGCCCTTACATCACAAAATCCCTTACAATGTAAACAAAATAAATTTTTTCTTAAACTTCTGAAATTCGAATTTGTTCTTTCAGGACTTTCATTCCTTCAAGGGCTTCCTGATGGTGAGTGACTGAAAGAGAAAGAAGAGATTAAAAACCACTCCTATAGCAAAACCAACAGAAACCTTCCATGCTACCTCAGGCTTCCGCTGCTCTGTCCCAGCCCCATTTTCATATACAGCTCACAAATAACGAGGGAAGTGTTATATTTTACATTTTTGTATAAAAATACTGCTTTAAGCTTAAAAGATCAGATGCAGGTGAGACATGAAGACTGCTCAGAAATCTCAACTGCAGCACATACTTCTCTGGTTACATAGAAAAACTTCTTACTTCATGGTGGATAGCACAACTTGGCAGCTGTGCAGCTGAGCCAGCAGGAGTCACCAGCAGGAATTTAATCCTACAACATATTTCATGGTTTGCTCCACACCTTACATTACTCACTTCTTCTCCAGATTCTAAATTCCTCAAGAACTTAGGGATACTTGATTCTCATTTGCCCACACTTTGTTGTCCTTTAACATTTCATTGAAGTAGATTCCCTTAGAACTATTATCATGACATCTTGACTACTGGTAGCAGGAAGTGCCCGTAACAATTCATCTTTTCATAATTCACACATTTAGACTAGTAAAAAAACTAAGCTTTTATCCTTGCCCAAGTTAAATTCCACAGGAACCACTCCAACTTTAGTGCTATTTAACCATATGGCACAGTCTAGTTTTAAAGATATTCCTACCTTCTCTTTGGAGATGGAGATCTGGACTTTGAGCGACTGTTAAAAAAACAAACAAACCAAACAATCAACATTGTACACTTGGATAGTCTCAGTAACCACTTCTGACCATTTAAACCCAGAACAGTTTGGTGTTGTTTAAATGCATTAAAAGACATCATGGTTAAGACTGCCAGTAGCAAGTGTACCTGATTACTTTAAGCAAGAAGCTGCAGGTGAGAAAGAAAAATGCTGAAAGCTGGAGCCCTTGGAAAAGAGCAAAACAACTTCAAACCAACTACAAAGTCATGATGGCAACCCTGCAAAGCAGGAGCACTGAACTGAGGAGTTAGGAAGAGGGAGAACTATAGTCAGTTGAGAAAAAAGGTAGGAACAGAGATGCCCCAAATCCTGTCACAAATACCTTTTTTGTCACAATGTTGAGTGAAACAAAAACCTCTATGCTCAATTCTTCTGAATTGCCTATTGTCCCACAAAAATCAGCTATTAAAAAAATATGTTAAAGTACTGTATGAAAAATGTTTTTGAAATCGGCTATTAAAAGAACAACAACAAAAAAACTACAACACAACAAAAAACCCTCTTCCACATGCAACTGAAATATTGCTCCAAACAGATTTTGAATAATGAGGAAAAAAAACCCATAAAACAAAACAAAAAACAACCACAAAAAACCACCAACCAAAACAAAAAGCAACTGAGTGCTACTTGTATTTAAACGCTCACCTTTTAGCAGGTAAGCCAGATTTAGATCTACCATGAGACTCAGACCTACAACAGGAGAAAAATAAAGCTCAGCAAAGCAGCCAGTAGCATGCATATACAATGAAAGTTAGCTACAGCAACAGCGAATTCTTATTACATAGCATCAAAAAACAGAGAGAAAGAAGGCTCTGGTGCTCCAGGCTTTCCTTGTGACTTTTCAGGAGAATCCTTTAGCTCTTATTGCAGAGACCCCATTTATCAGAAGACAGGAGTGCAAGCACATGAAGCTCCTCAGCAAAGCTTCAGCTACCACCTTCACAAAACAGAAGACCAGACTGACAAGACTTTCTTCCTACCTGCAAGTATCCCTTCTATAAAGGGAATAATAATTTCAAGTTTCATCTTAGAAAATTTAACAGCACATTAAGAGTGTGGAATCAGCCACAAGTAAAAATGTGCTGAAGAACTGATGCATTCTTCAGGTCAAGTTCCAATGCCTATTTTATTCCAATTATTATAATACAGATTTTTCATCAGTTTTGCCAATGAAAACAACATTTCGGTTTTCTCTTCAGTACCTGGCTACTGATGTGTAAACTACTCCCAGTTCATCTTGTGAATTAAAATCTACTCAAACAGTGACACTTTCCTCCCACGTTTATCATGTTACTTATCAACTCAAATATTTGCTATTATTTAGAAAATATTTGCCTTCCTAGACTGTCAGAATTCAGGCACGTGCTATTACTCAACATCAAAACACCCAGTTCAATAGACTTGGCCAATTTTTATTCTATTTCTGCTAAGAACTGTTTTTAAAGGGTAAATAAGATTCACCTTTACCTGGTCTATTAACTTACAGAAATACTGTATGGACACTCTTGGTGTAAGTTAAATGAAACATTATGTGCCACGGCTTTGAAACCTTCGTAGTCACTGTGCCGAGTCACCATCCTTCCCAATTCCTACCATTATAACCAGTAGCTTTTTCACTGGATCGCAATTTTACTCACAATCACCCAGAACTGGTACTTCGTAACACAAGTATGACTTCTGTTGGTAAGTAACAGTAAGGCAGAACACACCACCATCATCATTTTACTACATACGTAAGCATTAACTAGTGTTCAAAAATTCTCTCCACGGACCTCAAATCACACATATGCTTTCTTATGGCCATATATACACAGATTATATATAGTAGCCACAAACCAAAACAAGCTCACGTTTATTAAAAGAAATCTGATCACTACTTCAGTCTGTGAAAAGGCACAAATTAAGCGTTGCTACGCTACACAGCCTTCTAACTCCTGCCACCCAAATTCCCCCAGGAAGAAAAACAAGCAACAAAACACAACCACAATCAAACGACACACCAGAACTATTACGAGTTTGAACTAAAACAAGTATCTCACCTGCTTCGAGGCCACACAACAGACCGGGACCGTGAGCGTGACCTGGACCGAGATCTAGGAAAAAAAGCAGTGGAAGCTCTAATACTGCAGGATTCATACAGCTGGGATAGAGATCGGTTATTGCAAAAGTCACACAATACTTTGTTGGACTGTTGGCTTTGCAGAAGTAACTTCTATTACAAAGCTATGGTACAAAGCTATATCATATGCTTAGGTTTTTAACATAAAGAAAGTGTTCAGACTAGTTCTGAGAGATGTTACACCATAAAGGTTCCTAAAAAGACACAGATTGCAAAATATAAACTTAATGCTTATATTAAATGTCTTATATAAATACTTAAATGTTCCAACTTCAAAAAACCCACATACCTTGACCTTCTTAGTGAGCCAGATCGGGATCTGCGAGGTGAAAATGACCTGTATCTACGAGGAGAGATTGACCTGGACCTGCGGTAGGAAGCTGACCTTGATCTACAAAACAAAGTGAAAAACCAACCAAATCACTGCAAGGTACTTTTCAAAAGAGAAGGGAAAGAAGGGGCAGAGGGAGGAGTAAGAAAAACAACGAAAACACAACAGCTAGACCCCTACCTCCTACCACGGCTCCGACTGCGTGACCGAGAATATCTCCTTCCTCGGGACCTCGAGCGCGACCTAGACCGGGACCTGGGTTTAGGTTAGAGAAAACAGGTATCAGCAAACAGCTGCAGCAACCAGTGCATGTGAGGCCCTGCTGAAGTCAAAACTTATTTCAGACAACTAAAAAAAGAGAGCAATAAAAAAAAAAACCAAAACACAAACAAAACAAAACAAAACAACAAAAACACACCACTAGCATCTGTCATTTGGAAAAACTCTCTGGGCCTACTCGTCTTGAGCATTTTTACTACCTAGAAAAATGTTAAAAGCTGAATTACATTTGCAGAATTACATTAGAATAGAAAACACTGTAATGCGTATTTAAAATAAACCTTGCAAGTTTGCAGGTCGACCCTCTTTGGCCCAAGGTCTAGCAGATCTAGACGATCTAGAAGTATCTATAGCCGATCGCTGCATCTAGGTGTTCTCTTCAATCTAACGACGATCAAACTGACAGCCCAATGAGCCAGGGTGAGGCTTGATTGACGCAAGAAGATTTTTCTAGGTGGGAATGTGGTCAATCTGGTGTTCCTCTTTCTAAACCGGAGGGGGGCCCCAATTGAAAGCCAAATTTACTGTTACGGCGGTCACCGTCTCAAATTTTCTGCCCTTAAAGAATAAGGTGAAGCTACGTGTAGATGGCTCGAGGGGATCTGGCCTCTTATGCTGATCACCTCAAGGTCTAGGAGGATCTTAAGTGTCGGATTTGCAAGGCGCCTCAGCATGAAATCTTAAGGCTCGTGACATTCTGAATCAAGGCGACTGACTCAAACGAAGAAACCTGAAAGGTTTTGACCAGGTTGATTATTAAGATATTAACATTTTGTATGTATTAGCAAAAAATAAAACCGTGATATACACCTGTTGACTTACAACATTAAAGAGTTAAAACTGGTGTAACATTCTGTTCTTTGCTAACAAGAACTACACAAAAGCGAAACTGGCGAAGCAACGCGGCCGCCCCGGCCCCGCACGTACCTGCTCCTCCTGCGGCGGCTGTAGCGGTGACAGTCATAGGCATAGTGGCCTTTCTCACCACACTCGTAGCATCTGTCGTTGGGGTCAAAGGGGCGCCGGGCAGGGGGCCTGTCGTAACGGGAGCGCCGCGGCATTCCCGTGGACACTTCCACTCTCACCCTCGAGCCACATATTATCCTACAAGACATAGTATGTGTTAACCACAGGAATAACTGCGCTCATACAACGAGCACGAGAAATCAACGGTTGGTGTAGGGCAGGCGGATCAGAGACTGCGGCCGTAGCAGTCCAGGAGGTTCCAGGCATATACGTACTTCCCATCGAGGCCAAGCACGGCATCTTCAGCGTCCCGCGGGTCCTCGAACTCCACAAAGGCGAACCCCGGCGGGTTCCTCGCGATCCACACGGTTCTCAGCGGGCCGTAGTAGCTGAAGGCTCTCTCCAGCTCGCCTTTACCCGCGCCCGTGCCCAGGTTGCCCACGTACACCTTGGTCTCTGCGGACGAACGAAGAAACGAACGGACGCCATGTCAGGGCCGCGCCAGGCACGCGGCCGCCCCTCCCCCCACCGCCATCTTTGACTCCGCGTCCATCTTAGAGCGCTCCCGCCGGGCCGCGCCCCCCTCCCGGACCCGAGCCCCACAGGGCCCGCGGCCCTGCGTGTGTCCGCCGCGCCCCCCTCCTCGCCGCCGCCGTCGCTTCTCTCAGCGGCTACCTGAGGCGACGGACGCTTTCTCCCACCCTTAGCGCGGCGCGAACGCCGCCGCTCCACTCCTCGCTCTTGTTCCCCCCCAGCAGCAGTAGCAGCTCCCACACGATCCCCATCCCTCTCCCTCTCGCTCCCACTCCCCCGCCGCCCATACCATAACGTCCATATCGCGACATGGTCCCGGCTTCCCGACCACAGCCCAGGCTCTCTCAGGCGCGACCTTTTATATAGAGGAGCTGCCGCTGCGCCTGCGCATCGCGCGGGGGGCGGGGCGGTGCAGGCACGCGCCTCGTCACGCGCGGGTCTCGCGAGAGCGGAGCTGTCTGAGCGCGCGCGCGCGCGTGTGGAATCCCGCAGGGACGGGCCTTTCCCGCCTTTCCCGCCTCCAGACGGGAGGGCGGCGCTGGATGTGATCGCCTCGTAGTGGCCGTGGCAGCCCCTAAGCCACGAACCTCCCCGGAGGCTCCTCCTGGGCACGGGCAGCTCGCCCCCCACCAGCCCCATGTGAGTGCTCCCGCCTTGGCGGTGCCAAGAGGGAGCAGAGGGGACCAGAGCCCCTTGTTCTGCCTCACACCCCTCATGTGTGACCCATATGGGCTTCTAGCCCTGCTGAGGCTGGGGGCAAAGGTGCTGAGACCACAGTCCTTATTCCACGGCATGGAGGCAGGAGCATTTCCTACCTCGTAACAAGGCATTCCCAAATAACATGGCATTCCCAAACTGTGCCAAACCTGTTGGGCGGAGTTCGACCTGACAGTGGCTCACACATCAGATCCATCCCAACCACCCCTTGGGTGCTGCAGAGTTCAGGCACTGGTTTATCCCTTCAGGCAGCTGAAGCTTTCAGGTGTCAGCCTTTCCAGGGAGACACGTACAAGAGTGCACGTGCAGTAGACATTTTTTAAGAAAAACTGACACAAACCTGACAGATTCAAAGTAATTTTAGATAAATCCCAGCAGGAATGAGGAGAGCCTTTTATCAATGAGGGTCAGACAGACTTTTCAGCTGCATGTGAGCACAGCAATGTGTTTTGGTGTTGGCTCCTAATAGGGCAAAACAAATACACCCTGAGATAAATGAGGGCTCTAAAGGCTCCTCACTGGATTAATAATCTCAGGAATAATCACACAATGATTCCTGCATTGTGTGTTGCCATAAACTAGAAAAAAAGCAAAAGAAACCACAAACTGAATTGCAAGACATTCTCGTTTTACAGAACACTGATTTTCCAATCGCTGCTGCTCTAAAATAACAAATATAGATAGGGAATGCTTTTAAGTGGTTTTAAAACTTGCAATTTGCCTGCTAACCTTCCCTAAGAATTTTACAAATTTGGGCAACATCATAATTCATGTTCTAAACCAGAACAGTTGTGAGGAAAACAAACAACAATTAACCAACTAAAAAAACAAAAGAAAACAAAATAAAACAGCTTTCTGAACTAACTTTTTAAAATCTGGTTTGGAAGTCCAAGTGTCACAATTCTCTTTCTAAAAAAAAAGAAAAAAATAATCTGGTAAGCAGTTATAAAATAAACATGCCTACACCACTAGATAATTAATCAAACTAATTTTAAAGGCAGAGGAAAACACAGCTTAAATTTCTTGTATATCACCTTTCACAATACTGTTACAAAAATACTAAACTGATACATTAAGTGATAAATCAGTTTAATACAGCATCATTACCTAATGGCTCGCTTTTAATAAAAAATAGTGCATGAAAAATGCTTGTGCTTTTGGTTTATACCGCTTGTTTTATCCCTTTCTTTACAGACAAAAAAAATCAGACAAAAGTATCTAAACCCAGCATTTTTGCAAACAGTGAATACTGATACCCAGCACGGTTCCTAAAACACAGCAGGTAGACCCTTCCCTAAAGACAAATGCTTTAAACAGCAGACATCACTGTTGTTTCTCCAGATAACCCTGTACCAAACCTTGAACCCGGGACAGGATGATCTCGTTGGAGCTGCTGCACTGCTCGGGGCCATACGGGGGGTCAATTGTTAACACCCCTGCCACACACAGTGTCCTGCCCAACTCCCCTTGCTCCGTCACAGGGATGTGGTTTGTTTCCAGCCACGTCTTCAAGTCATTCTTCCTCTTCTCCAGTTCCTCTGGGCTGTAGGCTTTGCTTTCTTTGGGCGCGAATATGCGAGAAAGGCGTTGCTTCATTTCACTGTCCCCTTCTTTCAGTATTTCGACCTCTTGGACAGCATGGCCCATGACAAACGAAATGGACACCTTTTCATTCTCCGGGAATGCTGCAAGGACAATGCTGTCAAGGAAAGAAGGATGTGTAAGTCTCTGTTCTTAACTGAAGACTGAGAAACGCAGGCCAAGATTCTTGGAAATCGTGCTCATTGGCATCAGCCTATCCCAGGTACTTAGGCAATAGACAGCACTCAGCATTTTTCTTTGAAAAGAATGCTGCTGTACTCTTAAAATACTAAAAATGTGGGCTTTGCAAGCAATTGGTGGTCTTGAATTTGAAACTACTCTAGACACTATCAAGCAGAACATTAAAGAAGTGAACTGTACATTAAAACCAGGGCTCGGAATCTAAATAATTTTGTGCAGCTTTCCCAACCTTGCTGAAGAACCTGAAGTTTTCAGAAACAATGAAGTCTTCAATACATTTAGCATTTTCAATACTAAAGGCAATGGTGACAGCTAACTCCACTAGAACCTTTAATGAAAACTTATTAATATTTATTGATCATTACTAACAAAATATTTTTTTAAATTACTGTTGCTAGTTTCTCAAATGAAAATAATAGTTTGAGTGTTACAAAGGGACACATTACAGCAGGTTCAGGTTCATGTTGTAGAAGCTTCGTCTTTTCCTAAGGGCACTTGCACCCCAGAAGTCCTTAAATGCAGGTAGGAAGGCAGCTTGTTATATTTCTAGGATCAATTCCTCATATAACAAACAACTGTCTTCCTCTTCTGGGAACCAAAACTCCAGAATTTGATGCCAGCACTTCACTAATCTATTGTTACCACCCTTAGTGGAAGTAATGACTTTTTGGGCTATGTCCAGAGAAATCTTGATTTCACCAGAATCACTCACTGCTGCATGCACCTTTCCTACCGAAATGGTAAGAAACTCCAAGAGAAGACTATCAGAGCTACTCCAGAATTGAAGCAACAACCAATTCTTCTGATACACATCAGAAGCTGAATGCTTTCGTTTCTAGCCTTCATCCTGTGCTCGTCTGGGACAAGCTCAAAACTAAAAAGGTATGAAAGAGCTCTGGCAGCAAAGAGACAAATTTCTGCCGATTGCCTGGCGCATTCTGCCTCTCAAACCCTGTTTTCAAGTTACTCACTTGAGATACTAGAGACCTGTGGTACCACTTTCTGTCCAATGCCCCTGCTAATTTTCCTTGCTTCCTCTCCAAAGAAGCCACTACACCTCCATGGGTGTCTGGCTAGAGGGGAAAGCAGGACACTGATGTGAGAATTCTGGACAGAGGATAAGGATTTCAACACCTAAAGCATTAAAAATATTCCTGCATTCCTGCTCTCTTTGTAAAGTAGGGCTTGGTATATTATTAAAAGCAGTCCTAAAGATGTGGATTGTTGAGAACTAATACTTGTTTCGTTTCATTTGTAAGTTTTAAATAAGAGAAAGTCAGAGTTACAATATTGTGTGTTTTAGTATGCTGTTCCCTTAGCTTTACCTGCTTAACATGAGCAGATGGATTTGCTGAAGCCTTAGGCTGCAAGCTGTGAACTTTCAACTTGCACATATGCATTTGGCTGGTGTAGAGTTAATTTTCTTAGCAATTTTCCTAGAAGCCAGTACAGTGCTGAGTTTTGAATTTAGTATGAGAATAATGTCGATAGCACGCTGATGTTTTGGTTGTTGCTAAGCAGAGCTTACTCTAAATCAAGGACTTTTTAGTTTCCCATGCTCAGTCAGTGAGTAGGTGCACAGGAAGTACAAACCAGACGATAAGAAGGCTGCAGCCATCAGCAGAAGCTGCAACTCGACAAGAACAGTTAATGGCCTGTCTGCAGGGACACAGAGAAAGAATCCAATAAGGTGTTTGAAGACCCCAGACCAGAAATCACCACTGGACCAAGAAGCACATGCAAAGTGCATGAGGAGCATGTGAGCAATGGGCACATGAGCTGTAAGGGTATAAAAGCCCAAGGACTTCTTTGTTCTGAGTCCCTCTCCAGAGGTGCCAGCTCATGCTGACCTCCTGCTGTACCACTGTATTACATTATTTATTTTTATAAACTACAATGTTGCTTTCTCTTAGGCCTTGCCAATTAAATAAACCCAGATACACAGCCCCAGTGTGCAGTTTTTGCTCCAAATGAGTTTGCTTCAGTTTTGGGATCTTTTCTTCTCCAAAAAACCACCTTGTTTTCTATTAGTTTTACAGAAATAAAAGCTTTGGTACTCACCTGGCAGAAACTGGATCAACTGTTAAAACCCATCCTTCATATTCGTGTTTCTCAATTGCAACAACCTTCACCAATTTGTTCATATATGTTTCCCAGTCTAGAGGGCTCTTCTTCTGCCAGTCATTCATATTTCCTACATCCAGAACCTAGAAAACAACCAGAGCAACTAGCAGACGCAGTGAATCCTTTTGCTTTGCTTTTCACATCAGAACTGAGTTTGCCTCCAGGATAAAGATTCGTCTTAAGTAAAATTTACCATTTTTAAAAAGCAGACGTTCCCACAAGTGTTTTGCATACAGCTGCAGTTCTGTAATTTCCCACACAGTTCACCTGTTTTTAAAGGCACACCAGCAAAGCCTCAAAAATCACTGTTCTGGTAACTCGACGCTTTAAACATTCCATTTATTGCTCTTGCCCTCTTACAAAACCATCGGGATCGCCATCCCTTGAAGGTAAAATTTTACCGCCTTTGCTTTGTGTACTGGCACAGCACTGGGGTCCAAGTCCTTCCGCTGCCTGTGGACAAGCGTTATCCCCCCGAATCCCGGCTCTATTCGCATCCTCTACGGCAGAGCAGCAGCAAGTGCGTTCCACTCTTTCCCCCTCCAACAGCTGCACTACCAAGAGCAAAGCTACCTCTGGTCCAGCATTGGATTCCATTCCCTCCTCTCCCCGCCAAAGGGGCCGGAGGGAGATGTGGGCAGCGCGGTGCGGGGAGGACCAAGGGCTGGGGGCAGCTCTGTTCCCCGGAGGCTCCCTGGCGATGCCAAGGGGAGCGCTTGGAGCATCCCAGCTTCACGGGAGCAGGAGACGGGAGCGCTCCGAGCCCCCCCCCGCCCCCAACCCGCCCTGCCGCTCACCTGCCCCGTTCCCGTTCCAGTCCCCACCGAGGGCTCTTGGGAACTGCGCCCGGGCGGGATCTGCTTCCTGCCGCTGCCGAGCGCCTTTCCCCGCCACGGTCCGGGGGTTTGCGAGCACGAAATGGGCCGATGCGGAGGGTTTTTAACTACGGGTGTACATATAAATTGCTTAAAGGTTTACATGTACGAGGCCCGGTTGGAAAACGAGGAGGTGGAGCCGACAGTGCAGTGGAACTGCAAGCTTCAGCAAGCAAAACCTCAAGCCTTTTCAAGCAATCCCTGTGCGTAAACAGGGATGGATGCACGCTAATCCCTGTGCATAACAGGGACGGATGCAGGCTGTGTGCACCTCGTACATAAAAACAGGATATTTTTGCTCCCCGTTTTTGAGTTGCCTTTACAAATTTCCCTGTGCCGCTGTGAAGGTGAGAAGCTTGATTCCAACACCCACCCCCACCCACCCCGGCTGCTCTATTTCAACAGCGTTAAGGAAAAGCTTCCTACGGATGAACCAAACAAGCTGCCAGTCATGGCAGTAATTTGTGAAAGTGAGCATGCAATGGTTTTGTGAGCATAAAAAAATATATCAATGCTATGAAATGAGATAGTCGTATTTTGCAGACGAGGTAATTTCCGTTTTTAAGTATCAATTCAACTTTGCAGTACTACAGGGATTACTCATGAATGGCTTGTGTCACTGTATTCAGCTACTGCTTTCTTTCAGTAATAGTTTATTGGAAAGCAGGGATAGCAAATCTAACTGCTTTCATTCTAAGAGCAAGCAGCACAATGGGAAAGCAGCTCCCGTTTAAAACAGCAGCAGCGGGAAGAAGAAACATAATTTGTTTTTATCTATATATATGCATTTTAGTTGTTTAACTGGTTCCCTTCTGGATCAGAGACAGGAGAGTGGTTTGTTAAATGTCCCTTTTGAGCAGAATACTCCAAAAGTCTTCAGTTTTAATCCCTACCGATCTTTTTTCTCCACTGTTGTAAGTGTAGTTACCACAGCTCTCCCGTCTTGAATTTAGCAGTCGCCAGAGGCGACAATCAATAGTCACAGAGAGGTGAGGCTCTCCCAACTCACGTGACTCTGCCATTGGAAGCTCCTGGTGCGGATCGAGCCATAAACACTCGATTTGAGGGACAAACCTCGCTTTTCTTGTGGGACTCCCCCTTCGGAGGGGTCAGCACCAGCTCGGACCGCTTCCCCCAGCTAAGGGGCAGCCCGGAGAGGCCGTGGTTCCCGGGTGCCACTGGCTCCTGATTTGGATATCGCCTCCAATACTGGATATATCCAAGGACTGCTCCCACACAAGAGATGCCAGGACAGAAAGGACTGCTGGCCTTACTTCCCTTGGCCAGATGATCGTGCGCAGCACCAACAGCAGGCCCAGGTGCTTCCTTTCCCAAGGAAAGGTGCAATTCCCCTTCAGGCGCTCCGCCCCCCGCGCACGCGCGCCGCCGCCGGGCGGGGACAGGAGCGCGGGGCAGGCGCATGCGGTAGCGCGTGCGCGCGGGCGGCGGAGCCGTCGGGATGTCGCGTTACGGCCGCTATGGAGGCGGTGAGAGCGCTCGGGGCGCCGCGAGCGGCGGGGGGATGCGCGGGGGGCAGGGAGAGAAGGGTCTGGGGAAGGGGCGATTACCGCGGGGAGCGGAGCGGCCCGCGGGCGCTGGCGGGGAAGGGAGGAAGGCGAGGCGGCCGCTGCTGCCGTTGTCGCCGCCGCCATTTTGCGTCAGCGGCCGTGGGGGGAGGGGGCGCGGCCGCGCGCACCGCGCTCGCGGCGAAGGCGGGAACGGGCCGCGCGGACAAGATGGCGGCGAGGGGGGGCGGACCTGAGCCCGGTCCCGACGCTGACATCGCTTCGCTCCCGCAGAGACCAAGGTGTACGTGGGCAACCTGGGCACGGGCGCGGGCAAAGGCGAGCTGGAGAGAGCCTTCAGCTACTACGGCCCGCTGAGAACCGTGTGGATCGCGAGGAACCCGCCGGGGTTCGCCTTTGTGGAGTTCGAGGACCCGCGGGACGCTGAAGATGCCGTGCGTGGACTTGACGGGAAGTACGTGTGCATTTCGGATGCTTACCGGTTTTAAGAACAGAGAGAGGTTCTCTGGTTCTTCTGCTTTTGTAGTCGTGTGGTAAACTGTAGCATTTAACTGAGAGCCATCGCGGACTTTTGCAGGGTGATATGTGGCTCGAGGGTGAGAGTGGAAGTGTCCACGGGAATGCCGCGGCGCTCCCGTTACGACAGGCCCCCTGCCCGGCGCCCCTTTGACCCCAACGACAGATGCTACGAGTGTGGTGAGAAAGGCCACTATGCCTATGACTGTCACCGCTACAGCCGCCGCAGGAGGAGCAGGTACGTGCGGGGCGGGGCGGCCGCGTTGCTTCGCCAGTTTCGCTTTTGTGTAGTTCTTGTTAGTAAAGAACAGAATGTTACACCAGTTTTCTTTAAACTTTAACTCTAGAATAAATGTATAGGTGTATATTACAATTTGTTGCTATTTCTATCAAATGTTAATATCTTAATAATCAACCTGGTCAAAACCTTTCAGGTTTCTTCGTTTGAGTCAGTCGCCTTGATTCAGAATGTCACGAGCCTTAAGATTTCATGCTGAGGCGCCTTGCAAATCCGACACTTAAGATCCTCCTAGACCTTGAGGTGATCAGCATAAGAGGCCAGATCCCCTCGAGCCATCTACACGTAGCTTCACCTTATTCTTTAAGGGCAGAAAATTTGAGACGGTGACCGCCGTAACAGTAAATTTGGCTTTCAATTGGGGCCCCCCTCCGGTTTAGAAAGAGGAACACCAGATTGACCACATTCCCACCTAGAAAAATCTTCTTGCGTCAATCAAGCCTCACCCTGGCTCATTGGGCTGTCAGTTTGATCGTCGTTAGATTGAAGAGAACACCTAGATGCAGCGATCGGCTATAGATACTTCTAGATCGTCTAGATCTGCTAGACCTTGGGCCAAAGAGGGTCGACCTGCAAACTTGCAAGGTTTATTTTAAATACGCATTACAGTGTTTTCTATTCTAATGTAATTCTGCAAATGTAATTCAGCTTTTAACATTTTTCTAGGTAGTAAAAATGCTCAAGACGAGTAGGCCCAGAGAGTTTTTCCAAATGACAGATGCTAGTTCCTTAGTTGTCTGAAATAAGTTTTGACTTCAGCAGGGCCTCACATGCACTGGTTGCTGCAGCTGTTTGCTGATATCTGTTTTCTCTAACCTAAACCCAGGTCCCGGTCTAGATCCCGCTCAAGGTCCCGAGGAAGGAGATATTCTCGGTCACGCAGTCGGAGCCGTGGTAGGAGGTGTGCTTCAGTTTGTATTTTATTCCAGTTTTCTTCTTCTGGTTAGAGAATGCTGCACTTGTACAACTCTTTAATTGATTTCTTTGCAGGTCCAGGTCAGCTTCCTATCGTAGGTCCCGGTCTGTTTCTCCTCGTAGGTCTAGGTCCGTGTCTCCTCGCCGGTCCCGATCGGCTTCCTTGAAGAGATCAAGGTAATTAGTAGAAATTTTTAAAAGACTCTGTGCTTTACTTAGGTTGGAATTTTTTGTTTTAATTAGGTGTTGGATAGCAGACTTCAAAAGCTGCTGAGCTCTAGAAGTCAGCTTCTTATAAAGTTTCTGATAATCCTAGTTAAATTCCCTGGTGTGGTAATTCAATGAGTTTTGAGACCTTACACAGCAGCATCTCCCGTAATGAATTTCTATGTGTAAAATGTCTAGTAATCATGTAGGTTTTAAATTCAACATGTGACATTAATTTTTGTAGTGCTGTAATTGTCGTCTCTTCTGGTTGAGTTGACTCCTTTTTCATTTATCTTAATTTTTTATTTCAGGTCTAGATCAAGATCCAGATCTAGGTCAAGATCTGTTACATGGCCCCGAAGCAGGTAAGATCTCTTCTGTGACTGCAGATACTTGGTTAGAGTTGCTTAAAAGTCTGTTTAGGCTCTCTAACAACTGTTAACATTTTCAGAAAAAGATGTGTTTTCTCTCCACTAACTTAGATGTTTGTAGTTTTAAAAAGCAATGCAGAAGATTGTTCTTTTTCTTTTTATTGTTTTACATGCCACTGACATCCATGTCCCCGTAGTTATCACAGCTGTTGGTTTGATCTGGTTGCATTAGCAGCTAACAGAGCAAACGTTTATCTTAAAAGTTTATTTTTCTTTTTGTAGCACACACAAGATTGTGGATTCTTCCCATTATTTTTCAGAGAACTCAGGATGCCCTTCTGGCAGCGTATTAATGCATGTAGCCAGGCAAGTCCTGAAGGACTTGGTAGTGCCCTGAGTGCTGCTGATGTAGTTCCAGCGCTGTTGAATAACAAAGTGTTTGTCTGCAGGAGCTGACTTCAATTTGAGATAAACACCTATTAGAATTATTCTGTACCAATAAACGTGTAATGAGTAATGATCAAATTGTAAAGGAACACAAGATGTCATCTGTTCTCTTAAATTCTAGTTCGTAGTAAGTAAATGCAGCTGGTGTTTCACAGAGCCTTGTCCAGGCAGTGTGATTGACAGGCTGGATGTGCTGGATGGACTGTCAGGAGAACAAGAGTAAATTGAAGTTCTGCTCTGGAGATGGTGCTGCTTATGCCTCAGCCCATCCCCGTGCCCGCTGTCCTGGTTTGGGGGCTACTCTTTGAAACAAGTAACATAATGGTTAACCACGAAGAAACACAGAAAAATAAAGAGAGCCTTTTATCTGTAGGGAGAAAGTAGAAAAGCCTAAAGCTGAAGGCAGCATTTTCTGACAGTGGAACAGCAAGCAATCATGGGAGTTTTGAGGGAAGGGAGAGGTGAAGACCAGAAGATGGCTTAATTAAGAGCAGACACTCACACAGAGTAGTCCAGAAGCTACTAAAGAGAGAGAAGGAAGTTCCCCAAGGCAGTAGATCAGGTACAGTTTTCTGCTTGTTGAATGTTAATACCAGTTGTTTCAACATGACTTAATCATGGCTCATCAATGTTCATTCTTGGTGATGAGCAGAAAACAGCTACAGTCAGCAGATTCTCAAAGGAAAAAACATCTTGATTTTACCACCATTGTTTTCTCTTTTTCAATACCCGGGTGGTTTTCTGCAGGGTAAAAGATACCTTTAGTGACATTTCTGGACTATTGTGTGACATCTTTCATTGTAAGTAGAAAGTAGGTGACTGAGGCAGAGGAAGTTACAGATGTACAGGTGTAAAGAAGTGGCAAAATAATGGTGCTTAACTCCAAGGAGGTCACTGCTACACTTCACATGAGGCAGTTGAGAGATGGTTTCTTTACAGAAGAGTCCAAAGAATGTGTCACACCTGGAGAAAAGCTCTGTACTCATGAGAAGGACAGACTAAACAAGTACATGATGTTTGCTGGTTTGACAGCATCACAACATACATCTGGAAGTTGTTGTGGAAAGCCTTGGATGTGGAATATAGAACGCTTCCTTTGGGGATCTAAAAATTTCAGTTAGGCTTTCAGGCAGTATTAGTGTTTCTCATGGTGCAGCAGTCTTATCTCAAAGACTGACATTTAGGACAGTTATTTTCACAAGGATCAAGTTCAGACATTTCAAAAAATATTTGAAGCAAGTGTATGTATAAGATGAACTTCACAGAGGAGAAAGATACTTGAGGAATGTGCTGTCTGCAGCCAGTTTAACTGTAGTGGTAGATGTCTCTCAAGCCTAATAAAACTTGCAAGTTTAGAGCATGGCTTTATATTAGCTGTGTGAAAATACTGGTCAGGATTTGGGTTGTTCATGTATTCCTGCCACCTGCATCAGCAAACACTGGTCATCAGCCAGGGACCAAAGTACTGAGCAACATGTGCAGCATCCATGTTTAAAGCTTTCTTCTGAAACTTAGCAGGCAAAGCCCTGGAAAGTTGCAGGATTCTTTGTGTTCAGCATGACAATTCTCATACATTGAGTGTGACTGCTGCTGTCTCAAACATGGGAACATGTGTGCTATCAGCTTCCATGCTGAGCTGTGTTTTTTCTCTTTGTTGTAGGTCTAGGTCTCATGGCAGATCAAAGTCTGGCTCTCCAGCTAAGAGGTGAGCATGCACAGATAGAGCCTGCAGTAGTGTCTCAACTTCAGTGCTAGGTTTGCATGATTAACAGAGCCTGGTCCTTTAGAAAAAAAGTCTCCCGACATGGGCCCCCACCTAATCTGTTTGTGATATGACAGAGATTATAAAATTTTCTCTGTAACTCTTGGGAATATGTTCCCAAAGCTGTCCCTTTGTTTTCATTAACTCTTTGTGGTTTCCAACATATTACTAATTTTTTGTGGGACTGTGCTCAGTTGTTATATTTTTCTATCCATAAGAAAAAGGGCCTGAGCTTTGTTAATGCTGTTGATAAAACAGCAGGAACCTGTGGTGATGTTTCTCTTCTCAAAGCCTCACGTCAGTACTACCCCTTGCTTTTCTGTTCTGTCTGCTGAAGACAGTTGCTTAAAATTAATCTCCTCGCTAAATGAATAGAGAGTCCCTGTCAGAGTAAAAGTTGATTTGAAAAATTTGATGTTGGAAGGACCTTCTGGCTAGATCCCATAATAATTGAATTGCTTTCTGATATGCTTTTTTTTTAATATAAAAGTTTTGAATGTGAAAGTATTTGATCTTTAAGCTGCATTGCTGATATTCTGTTTTGACAGTCGGTCAAAGTCCCGATCACCATCTCCAAAGAGAAGGTATGTTGATCTCCCTACTAGTAACACAGACTCCGTAGAGCTGGCATTTTAGTATCTGCACTGATTTCTGCTGAGGAGTTTGACTGCTGCTTGTAGGAAAATACTGGAAAGGTGTTTTGCTGAAATCTCTTTGACAGAAATAATGTCATGGTTGTGGCTTTATATATGATAATATGCATACATGGTAGTAATTCCTCAGGGTACTGGTTACGCAGCAGTGTTACGTCCCATCTGTCTGCTCCCCTGTTCCTTTCAGTTCACTGACAGTTTCATTGCATAGAGACTGATAAGCTTAAAACACAGAATAAATGTGGAAATCAGCTTTCAGTCTCATTAAAAGCTACATGGAGGTTGGGGAAGGTGGAGTAACCTGGCACAGCAGTCAGGAATGGAAGATCAAGCCTGTGACTTTTACTGCTGTCACATAGATTATTTGTTCTATCCCAATAACTCCGTAAAGTTTTCTCTCTGTATGTATGCATTATGTGTAGTGACAGAACCAGCAGCACTTTCTCCCTAATTTGAATTCTTTAATAGTTCATTTTTACAACTTCAGTGTCAAACAATCACAAGGGTATGAGTAGGTACTCACAAACGCTGAATGATCACAATAGGTTTTGACAAGCTGATGTTTCAGAACAGTGAAGAGGTATCCTACCTCTCTGAAGGTCACTGTTAGTAATTAGATAGCCTGACAGTAATCACTTGTAAATTGTATTATAAAAAAATAACAGGAAAGAAATGCAAAAATTTGAAAGAAGAAAAAAGTATTATGTCTAAATCATCAACCTATTACCATTTTCCATACTGATTGGTTATTTTATTAAAAAACAGTGCCAGAGTCTAGGTGTCGTCCTGTGGCTTTTTCCTGTATTCATGACTGTATTCATGAATCCCAAAGGACTGCTGAAATGTTAACTGTGGATTCTTTTCCTTTCAGCCGCTCACCATCAGGAAGCCCGCAAAGAAGTGCAAGTCCTGAAAGAATGGATTAAAGTTATGAAGTTAATCTTTTAGGAAGAAAGTTATTTTGCTTACATTATTATAAGGGATTTTGTGGTGTCTTTGTAAATGTAAGAATGTAGATAGAAGAGTATATCGACTAAAATTTGGCATGATCTGGGTCTTCTGAGTTAGTCACACCAATAGACTAGCACAGGTCTCTTTTTATTGTATGAAATAACTTCCTGTGATATGAAAATGTGGGACTTTTTTATTGGCACATTGAAATAAAATGTGTATTTTTAACTAAAACCTCTCTGTAGTAACCCTGCTGCTTCTGTTAACATTTGGGTAATTTTAGCTGTGTGCCATGTAATGTGGATGACAAATGTCTAAAATGGGAATGACTAACACTGGTCAGTGTCTTCTCAAGGCAGCCACTTTTCACATCTACTGTTGAATGGTCTTTGGTGAAAGGATCGGTTCCTGCTTTCTTTAAAATGGAATTTAAAATCCATGTCTGTTTACAGATGGATAAAAATTGGCATATGACCGTTTCATTCCTTGATGATTATTTAGTGGGCATTCATTTTTTTTTCTCTGATTTGCTTATTCTGCAAAGCTTATTCCCTGGTGTTTGACTGGTGATACCAGATGCTCAAAAATTTAAGGATAAACTTTTCTCCAAAACACATCTTTTAAGCAGATAACATCTGCAGAAACCTCTAAAGGTAATAGAAATCATTAATAACTTGACAATTGCTACTTTCATTTGTTTCATTTTTTAGTTCCTTAGGATGTTAATATAAAGAAAACTTCTTAAAATATCTCAAGGCGGGTTTTCCTTTTTTGAGGGAAGGAGTAAGGCCTTCTGAGCTACTTTCTGAAGGACCTTATGAAAATGTGTTTGAGAGGTGAAAGAAAGCTGTTGCCTGTCTTTCTGCAGCTCACTCAAACTCTCCTCCTTTAAGATTCTCAACTGACCTCAGGAGTTCTAACCTGCTTCACAGAAACTGGTGTTTTTAAAGCAGCCTCCATATCCTGGAGATGGTTTTGTTGAATTATGCTAATTTCTTACAGCAGATGTACAACCTGCAGGACTAACTATTTGTGTATAGGTGTGTCAAACTCTGTCCTCATTCTGTATAAAAGAATTGTATGATAAGGCACTTTGTTGACACAGATCACAGTAAAAGACTGGAAACAACGTTAGAAGACTGCACAAACAAACTGGTAGGCAGAGGGGAGAAAAGCAAACTTTTTTTTTTGCTAGGATGGGATATCTAGCAGATATCCCAGTTTCAGCAGTAAATAAGCACTGAAATGAAAAGCAAGGCCTGTTTGGGCTTCTAATGCAATCTGTCATAGCAGTTTGCTTCCAATGTGTAAACCACAGCAGAGCAGCTCACCTGGAAACAAAGTTACAAGATGAACTTGGGTCACACCTTGGGTAATGTGGTTTTCAAGAACCAGGTTTACTGTTAACATGAAGCTTTTCCAGTGTTAACAGTCCAGATTCTGAGTGTGCTGACCTGCTGCAGCATCATCTGGCCCTTGTGCCTGGTCCTCACTGCTGTGGTGCTTCCTGTGCCTGGATCCTCCCTGGTGCCCACGATGGGCGTTGGGTGTTCCCTGTGCCAGGTGCAATGACCAGTATTCCAGCAATACCCGTTAAATTCCGTTGTTGCCGCAGTGGGAGAGCAGGGGGTGGCACGAATGTTACCCTGCAGTGATTCAGCCCAAATGCTCAAAGCCTGTGATCCGTGTTTGGAATATTTACTGGTTGTAAATAAACTGCCTGCCCAGTTTATGGTGTGCCTGGTGAGAGGCACATGTACACCACTACTCTGGAATTTGATCACCTTTTCTTTTCTGTACTCCTACGGCAAAACTACTCCACAATAAACCTGCAGACTGACACGACAGCTATGCTGGTACCTGTTTTTCAGTACCCAGAGACACTGTGGAAGACTGAGCTGAGGAGCCCAGGGTTTCTGTAGGGGGCTGGGGTTCCTCTAAACCCGGGTGTAGCAGCAAGAATGTGAGCAAGGAGGCAGGGCTATGCTGGCAGGGACGGCCACTGCAAAGGACAGCAAGCACTTCAAGGTGCAGAGAGGGAGCAGTGACAAAGCTGGCATCCGTGCTGCTGTGCAGCTGTGGTGTCCAAAACGGGGTGGCTGTGCTGTCTCCCTTAGCTCATCATCATCTTTGGAGGCTGCGCAGCTCCAGCTCTCACCTGAGTCTGGGAGGATTTCACCACAAATTCCATACAGTGCGAGCAATTGGAAAAGATCCCCTGACGGGTGTGTTGTGTGACAGCTGCTGCTGTGACCTGGGCCCTGCACCTCTGGGCAGGGTGTGCACACCCCACACAGCCTGGGTCAGGGGCAAGGGGACACGTATCCAAGGTGTCTGGTGCGATGGGCAAACCCCACTCTCATAACAGGATTCCCCTGATTTGCAATCTGGCATTCCCTGCTACTGGGCTTTGCTCTCCAAGTGGGTGCCTGGCCCAAGAATTGGACCTGTTTCCCTGGGGAGAGGGCTGTCAGCTCCCTGATATGATGGTACGGCCATCCCCTGGTTTATGCTAATTTTTTACGAAACCTCAGAAACATGGAGGTTTTCATCAGACAGGCCCCTCTTACAGGGGTTTTGAGATTACATGTTTCATGTGGAAACACAACATTAAGATGATGGTTTTCCTCCTGCAGTTGTATATTCAGGACTAAATAGATGTGCCTGCTTCACTTCAGCAGCCAAGGCATCTTCCATACTATGCTCTTGTGCAGCTCTTGCTGGCTTCGAAATAGGAGTTGAACCAGAGGATCCAGGGCAGCCAGGTGAGATAATCCCAGCACAATGTCCTCCACAAAGCTATTCTGCACTGTGCACTGTGTAAAGACAGCAGCAGCCAGCACAGCTCGGAGCACTTTGCAGATGTTGTAATGAACAACCACAACTGCATCAGCCTTCCCACGTGCTTTGCTTGAATATCACAGATGTTCCCCTGCTGTAGTTGGAGCTGTGACATGCCATATCCCTAAACAAGGTGTTTTCAGTGCATTTTTTACTAGTGCCCAGGATGAGGCTAGGCAGAGTGAGAGAGCTTTGCATAGAACAGATAGCAGCAGAGGTGGTGACAGGAGTTAAAGCCAGCAGAAATCACGGGTGAAAACCACAGAGGAAGAAAAATGCTCCCAAGTGGGATGCATCACCCAAGGTAGTTGGAGAGCTCTGTTCAGCACCTGGCAGGGTTTCTGGCTAAGCTGCTGGAGGCACTTACCCCTCTCACTGGTAGGAGTCAGCAGCCCTTCTGCTCAAGCACTGTTGAACACGAGCCACGTGGTGGAGTTGTATTCCTCACCCGGATGGAGTAGGACGTTGGGGAAGTGGGGCTGGGGAGAGGCAGCAGCACATCAGTGACTGAGTGAATTCCGTAGGACCGCAAAGAATCATAAAAGCACAGCTGCATCCCTTTGACCTTCCCAGGGCATCATCCTACAGCTCCCCCCAGCCATTTCCAGCAGCAGTGTGTAACCTCCCGTCACTTGCCAGCTGGCTGAGTGGGCAAGTCCTCCCGCTGGTTGAACTCAGGCCATGAGAAATAATCCAGATTTATGAGGACGTGGCAAGGCCCCAGTGGGGTCTTCTGCTCTAGACCCCATGCTTTTGGGAAGCTGGGCTGCACAGGGCTAGTCCCTGCTGCGCTGGCTGACCCCTCCCTAAGGCCACAGTATGCTGTGACCTGTGCCTGCTTGTTCTGGTGTCTACAAAGCCTCTCCAAGACTGTTTATATATTTAATGCCCCAGAGACAAGGAAGGTGGTGGGGGTATGGTCGCCTGCCACAGGACCCAAGTAGCTCCTGTGGGGGGAACAGACAGTTCACCTTGTTGACGGCGTCGGGCCAGTTCTGGGTTTCCAAGCAGAAAGCTGAGTGCTTGGGGTATGTGATGCCACCTTTGCCCTTCAGGGAGCCATCAAGGTTGTTCCCGGTGTAAAACTGGATGCCAGGCTGGGTGGTGTGAACCTCCATGGTCCTGCCGGTGGGTGGGTGGCGAGCCCTGGGGAAATGCCAGTGGAAGATGCCAAGGGACTGGCTGAAGGGGCACCCCACAGTTTTAGGGGTTGGGGACCCCTTGCCAAGGCCCCAGCCTACCTGGCTACAAGGCGTGGAGACTGCACCTGCTGCAGGCAAAAGTTGTGGTCAAAGCCATCCAGGTGAAACTTCTGCAAGTGCTTTCCCAGCTCCACCGGCTGCCGGAGATCGAATCCGGTGCCCTGCACGGCGGCCACCTCCCCTAAGCAAGGAGAACAGCAGCGTCAGCCACTCCTCCACACACCAGCAAACCCCTGTGGGGCTGGTCCTGGGCAGGATTGAGATCTGTTGGCTTGATGAGCCGAGGGGTTTTAGCCATTTGTGATCCTTGTCTCGGTGCGGTGTCCTGCTTCAAGCAAGGGCCACTGTGACTTGGGCTGGGACATCACTACCTTGTCCCCAGCACAGCTGGCAGCCCCTGGGGGCGCTGCTGTTCTTAGCAGGGGCAAAGCACAGATACGGAGCAAGAAAACTCAAGGGAGGTTTGTATTGGTAACCGTACAAGCCAATTAATATAAACCCAAAACTTCTTAGCTATTAATGTTTGTGTATGCATAATATTTACATACAGACACTATCTATCTCTGTACAAAGAAATTAATCCTCCCAGATCTCTGAATAAACATCTGTGAGATGGCCATGAAGGTGGTCTACCTATGGGATGGTGAATATGGGACCAGTGGGACCAGTCCCCTGCTGCCACAGGGCATTGTTTCAGGAAAATGGTTCAAGACCATAAACCCAACATTTTCTCTTGTCTTTTTTAAGGCCTGCTGTGGGAATGAAGTCCTGTGAAGCAAGAACAGCTCTAAGACATACTAAACACAGTGCAAAACACAGTCACGCCAACCCAAAGGCGATGGGTTTGGCATAGGAAAGGGGAGAGATGAAGGGAAGGGGAGGGATGTTTTCCTAAAGTCACATTTTTTCTACCCCTCTCTAAAGAGAGATGTTTCCAAAGGTCAGCAGGCAGCTGCCAGCATTGGGGATGGTGGTGTGGGAACATCCCAGCCCTGTTGCAGGCCCCATGAGCTGTGCTCTGCTCACTCCAGCTTGGCTGTGGCTCTGCACCAGGTGTGCCCTGCAAACCTTGGGAAGCATCAGTCTGCACCTGACAAGCAGCACATTTCTGTGGCTCCTGATCCTGTCTAAAAGGAACACATTTACTCAATTCAGCCATGAGGTGGAAAAACACCTTGGAAAAAAATGAAACTGTTCTGATTCAGTTACTCACATAAAATACAGCAGCCATTGCATGCCAGGGCTGTGTCTTTAATACTTGCACAAATCTTGTCTTCATCCCAGGACTAAGACTACACACAGAAAAGGGAACTGCAAAAAGCAGGGGTAGCAAGCTGGCCACAACCATGATGCGAAACATCTTCATGGTGAAAGAAGCAGGAAGAAGCAGGGCAGTGGTTTTGGTCCTTAAGCTTTTCCTGTGCTTGTGCACAGGCATGACATGCCAAGCTGAGCAAAAGCCACATGAACCAAGGAATCCACTCCTCCAGGTGGCCCAGGTAGCTTGTCTTCTGTATGGACCCATGTTGCAGTCTCACATCACACATGCCTCTGGCCCCATTTCCTGCTGCTCCTGTCTGCACTCCCTAGGCAGACCTAGTCTCCAGGTCTGGGGCCTGGTGATGTAACCAGCACCTGGCTCTGCCCACTCTGCTCAGGCACAGCGGGACTGTGCCCATGGATGAGGGCCCCTGGGATCCCCTTGGTGCTGGTGTGTCCCCCTTGCTGGGCACTGCTGCTCCCAACACCAACATACTCCTCCGACAAACCGCTCCCCCCATGTGCCGCGCATGCCACGCCACCCACCGGTAGGGATCTTGGTGTCGTCCACAGGCAGGTAGGAATCTGCTTCAATGGAGATCTCGTGGTCATAGACATCCGGGGAGCCCTGCAGGAGGATGGGAAATGCTGGGATTCCTGCTGCAGCCCTTCCACTGCTCAAGCAGCCCTAAGCTCATTTGGGAAGTGACCGTCCACAGCGGTGCTACAGCTGATCTGGTGGTGCCTGGCCATCATCCTACCCTGACCTTGGGCACAGGACAAAGGTACTGGCCCAGGCAAAAATCTTCATGGGCCCTAAGAACTGTAAATCCCACAGGGCTTGTACCTCACCAAGCAGTACCACCCTGAAGACTGACTATCCAGCAAAGGGCAAAGGGGGAAGGAAGCAAGAATGAAACCCATCTTCCTGGCTCATCTCCTGCATTGCAGCAGGGGTGAGCTCCTCCTCTTCCACAGCCTCAGAAATGCTGTCAGGCAACCTGTTGGGCTGGAAGGGGAGCAGGATCAAAGCTGAGCCTTCAGGTCACTATCTAATCTGAGGAGTAATTTCGTGCCTAAAGGTCTCCTGTTCCTCTGGAACACACCCGAGTTGCACACTGCAGGCGTTGATACTACTGTACCTCTGGGAGTACAAGCACAGGGTACACTTACAACTGCACAGCCATTATCAACAGCAGCCTCCTGCACAGAGGAGCTGGCTTGTCTCTCACTAACACTTTTAAGTGTCTTTGTCTCATGTCCAAGCGTGACTGCACTGTACTATCCTATTACTCTGCCCAGCAACATTTTATTTCTTAGATCCTTTTCCCTCCTCAGTTATAAACAGGGTGAGACTAAAACACTGCTGCAATTAACAGCCTATTTCGTTGACAGGACCCAGAACAGGGTGTGGGAGCCCTCTGCACCCGGCTACTGCAACCTTGCTACTCTGCAGCTTTGGCTAGATATCT